TATATATATATATATATATATATATATATATATATATATATATATATATATAGTGTTATCATTTATGGTGGTCATAGTTAATGAATTTCATTGTGCTCTTGAATAATAAAACACCGAAGTATGTGATGCCACCACTTGCATTTTTCATTCGTACGACCTGTTGTTTCTGCATTGTTCCTTGATAATAATAAATACTGAAGTCATATATGTCAACAAATAATTGGGAAAAGATAACCACTTGAATAGGCGTGGCTCTATCTCCTTTACAGATCCATTCCATGTTTGTTCCAAATTCGAATTATTGAGACCTTTTTCTGGATAATATTGCCAAACAAGTTTACAGCTAAACGATGTACACTTAATTTGACCTCATATATGGAAGTCAATTCATATTTTCTGGGTTTAAGCTAATGAATGATAGGAGAGTTAGCTCAAACCCATCTAAATCACTCTCCGCGTTTAGGATTCCACCCCAAGTCGAACCACCTTCCCTCCCGTATAAACATCTGATTACCCGACCCAAAAGAATTTTCTTCCCCGAAAAAGCACCACCACCATTTAGCTAGAAGGCTCAAGTTATGGGCCTTGAGACTACAGGCATTGAGCTCTCCCCTCTCGAAGTCTTTAAGAACGTTAATTTTACCCAAGCCATTTTAGGAGCTCATCACCCACCCACCCAACGCAAAAAAAAAAACCAGTTGCTTGACATTTTAAGGTAATCCCATAGTTTAGAACATGGGTGGTTCGTGCTCTCTAGACTCGTAACACCCTATTTAATCAATGGAATGCTAACTTCACCTCGTGCATTGCAATACTTTTGAATGTGACGTACGTATATGGATTGAGCTAGAATGTGTATATCCAAGACTATAATACCCTATTAAAATTTAGGATTCCAACTCGTAGCTAATTGACTAGAGTGACGTAACCAAAAATCTATTTGTAAAAGAATTGCTAGAAGTAATCTACCTGATGTGAAACCATATCTCTTGCTAAGGTTGGGGAGCAGGCGCGACTCTATTTCAATGTTAAATCTTCAGGGTTCTAACTGGGTCCTGTTGATGTTTTGCTTCACAGGAGTACTATAACAAGGTTAAAAGATTAAAAATAACCGTTGGTATTTTCTTAAATTGACATTAAATTGAATCTTAGAAACTAGCTAGTGATGATGTATTCAAGACGTGTGAGAAGTAAGCAGTGTTTTAAAAGGTACATCATAGCACAAAGACTTATCTCCGACATCACGTTACCCGGCCTTATTATGGCACACCGTAGTCGAATGCACATTTTTTATAAGGCTCTATTTGATCTTTTTTTACCCGTTTATTGTTTTACTTTTAAAGTTTTTTTTTAGTATATAACCTACTTAGCTTGTATATAATCTTATATCAAAATAATAGCGGAAAGTATAATTTTATATATGATGTACAAATTTTACACCATAATTCACGTCTCATGCTTTCAAAAACAGCGTGACTCCTAAAACTTGAGGGTCGAATTCGCCAACGCATGCCTTATGCTATGAACGTGGGCAGTATCGTCCACTTCACCAAATTCTGATGAAGATTGAAATTTACCGTAAATAAAACTAGGAGGAGGCAGTGATACGATGGTAACTCTTCCATACTCATGCAACCAAATAGCAGTCAGTAAATTAAAGTAATTGATTTTAACACAAAACCTAAATCTAATCAAACATCAGCACGCACATTGCTTAAACAAACTGAAAAGTTGTAATTAATAAAAAACGAAAATATAAAGACAGAAAGTCTGAAAAGTAATAATTTAATGTAACAAAAAGCTTTTGATTATAATAATTAACATCTTGTTCATGTAATTTAGTTAACAAAATCCATGATTGTAAGATAATGTTGATCACGAAATCTCATATATACCTAAAATAATGTGTCATGAATATACAATTCAAGGATGTAAGAATTTTATGGTCAAGAGATGGTGAATTAAAAAAAAGTATGAAGATGGAAACTTCCAAAATGTCACAGTCCTGAGGTATTAACAAATGATTCTTTACAATGAAAGACAAGCAGAAAAAAACCTATTCCCTATTCTGCCAATTAATTATTCTAATCTATATGCCACACCCTATAAAAATATTTAGGTTTCTTTTTAATTTATTATATGCCTGCTCAGGGAGAAATGTTTATCCCTTTCCATTTCACTCATCTCTCTCAATCTCTATAACTCAAGTTTCAATACTCATACTTCTGATTTTCAGTCTCCATATTTTTGTTTAACTGCAAATTGGAAGGGAAAAGAATATGGGGAGAGCACCTTGCTGTGATAAAGCTAATGTGAAGAAGGGTCCATGGGCTCCTGAAGAAGATGCTACGCTTAAGGCTTATATTGAGGAACATGGTACTGGTGGTAACTGGATTGCTTTGCCTCAGAAAATAGGTAAGTTATGTTTATGTTAATGCTGATGATCATACAAATGTTTTTAGATAATTTGTTGTAATCAAGACAGAAATAGCCGCAGGCACTTTGGTTGTAAATATGCGAACCTAGTTCTTTTTCCTGTGCGATTGTTTGATTAATTACCCTGTGAAGAAATTTATGTATTCATGTTGATTGTTTGCCTATGAACTGATAATTAGGGCTTAAGAGATGTGGGAAGAGTTGTCGCCTCCGCTGGCTAAATTATCTCCGGCCAAATATCAAGCATGGAGGTTTTTCTGAAGAAGAAGATCGCATAATTTGCAGCCTCTATGTTAGCATAGGGAGCAGGTAACTAATTGGCCCCCTTTAGCTGAAGTAGCAGCTGATATATTGTTGGAATAAGATCTTTCTTTTTATTCCCTTTTGAATTCATAACATATATAGAGACTGTTTGCATAAGCAGGTGGTCTATAATTGCAGCACAATTACCCGGACGAACCGATAATGATATAAAGAACTACTGGAATACAAAGCTGAAGAAGAAACTCTTGGGTAAGCAGCGGAAAGAACAAATTTCTCGTAGAAAGGGAGAGTTACTAATGAAGAAAGGGAGATCACCATCAGAAATTCCATCTTCCATAATCGTTAGTGGTAACGACAACAACTGCCAAGATCCTTATTGGCCAGAGTTGCCAGTGTTGCCACCTGTGCCCTACTCGAATCAAGAACCTTGCTTTGTCAACGGTCATGCTTCTATACGGAAACTACTCATCAAGCTTGGAGGAAGATTTTCTTGTGATGATAATGGAGATCAATCTGTCAACATGGTCTCACACTTCCCCATTGATCTTCCAGCATCATTGCATGATGATCAGAAGTTTATTGCTAGTAGTACTCCAGTTTCTTCTTCTTCTTCAATGTTGCTGAATAGCCAACACGACATTTTGCCTATACAGGAGGGGCGAAGTGGCTGTTTCCCATCAGTATTTGAGGAAATGTATCACAATCCACAAAAATTGGATGGACTGGAGTTCCTATATGGAGAGATGTGTGAAATAAACACAAGTGGAAGCAGTAGCGTTATTACATGCAGAGATAGCATGGACTGGGGTGAGATGAGTTCCCTAATTAGCACCACGACGACTACGAGTAATGTTATGAATTCATCAAACTTCCGAAGATCAATTCAGCAAGGGGTGGAACTACAAGATTGTGCTTATGATGACAATCACCACAACCGAGTTCATTAACAGATAAGGAGAAGCTATGATAAAAGAAATCTTAAATTTATGATTCGTTGGTTGGAAATGTTTGAGTTTAATTAGTTGCTATATTTACCATTTTGAAGCCTTTTACTCTCTTTTTGGAGTCAGTTGCTTGACACACAATGTGTTGAGGACTATGGAAGCGTATTTGTGTGTGTTTATATTGTTTGTCACAGAAACAGCTAAATTAAATTTGATCTCAGTTTTTATGTGGTACATGCATGCTTGATGTTTGTAGAAATTAACCAAGGGAATATTATAGTAACAAGAGCTTTGAAAGGAATATTAGTGCAAAAAGAAAGCTTCAATCCAAAGTGAAAGACACCTTGGGATGTGTGAATTCATCTTGAATTCCCCCTGGAAAAGGTACGTCATGCATGTGTGTTTAATTAATTGATATTAACTCAGATGCATGTCGGTCATCTTACCTTTTATAAGTTTCTAGGAAACCTAATAGAGATTCCCTTCAAAGTTTTGGCAATAAGTTGATGGGAGTTAGTACATAGGGTACTTCCAATGGATTCAATTTGGATCATTACCAATGTCATATATATCGACTCTGTTTCAATGTACTATATGTGTCTTGAATGGCATAACTATGCAAGGCAAGCTGTTGTTTATTTGTCACTAAACTCGGTTTTGAAGTCACTTTTTGCCGATCGCTGTTTTTTGGTGGTTTCCGGGTGATAACATCAACTTTTAGCCATATCGAATCAAGAATATGCTGGGCTCATTATATAGGTTAAAGCAAACATCATTTTCCTGTAAAAAGAAGATTATAATTGAACTTTTTTATAGTGGCACAAATTAATTGACACAAACACGCTACTCTATATGTCTGCTATAGAGAAGCTAGTATATTTTTCTATGATCTCTCTTAATGATTATATAATGGGCATTTTTATAAGTGATTCTTATTTTTGATATGTCAACAATAAATCTCTGACATTTAAATAACTGGCACTAATTATAACGTAAATTCTTATTCCCTTAATAAAGGTGTGAAAATTAGAAACCGCTTTTCACTATGTTTGCGTATTTAAACGGAATTATAATAAAAATGGAAAACCGGAGGAAATATTTGGAGTCAGATAAATTTTTTGAGTTAAATCTCTTAATTTCCAGCCCTTTCCCTACTCTTACTCGTCCACGAAGTTATCAACTAACTTGTTTATCTCAGTTCCTCATCAATTCATTACTTATAACCAAAATTTTGACCGGAGCTTGGGTCATGGAAAGAATTAACCATGTTCATTTCTTTGTAGATGGACCTGAAGCATGAACATCTTTTCACATAGGCTTCAAGGTTTAGGCGAATGATGATGTTAGAATGAAAGTTATGGTGAAAATTGAAGCATAAGAAGAGATCTTAATCTTTTATCATTTTTAATCTCATGTCCACCCATAAACTATGCTTTAGAAGAGAAAGAGAATTGATTTAGTACATCTTGGTATACCTCATTAGTGAAAATCTCTTCTGACGTTTCTCACTATAACTTACCTTATCACCCGAACCCAACCCTAAGGTTTATTGGTTTCGGTGGCGATATGTTGAAATAACTATTTATGATTTCTGATCTAAATTTACCACCCAAACCCTAATCATTATAGATTGTTTTTATTAGTACCCGTCAAAGCTTACCTTCAAGAAGAGTATCAGGCCGAGTGATTTGTTTTATTACCGTCTATTGATGCATCATTTGTAATCTTTTAAGAAGAAATTTCAAGATGGTCTCCGGATTTACACTTAACTTGTAGGTTGAATTTTTTATATGGAAGACGTAAAACTCAATATTCTTTATCTGGTTCTGTAACCAGAGGGATCGGATGTATGACCCATTCAGTACGTTGGACGTTGAAAATGAGTAATGGTAAATAAAAATCTATGAATTGGTGTTGTTATGGGGTTGGATTTGAAGAATCCTTCTGCACCTTAGAACCATTGTGGAACAATGGCCATGTAACCTTAATTATTTTATGAATTTGTAGCCAAGACCTTGCAGCCGTTTACCAAATGCTTATCGGGTAAGCGCCTACCAAGTCCCATTATATTACCTCTTTGGATGAATATGGTAAGAACCAAAATCTTACCTGGTAAGAGCGAGACAATGACTAAGAGTAGTAAGTGCAACGACTCTTACCACGGTAAGCGCTTACCGGGTAAATTGTTGCATGCGAAGTCGTTTTGGTGGACTAAAATCTTACCCGGTAAGTACATAATAGTGTTAATTTTACCCGTAAACACTTACCGAGTAAGTATCGGTAAACACCCCTTACAACCAATTGATCTACTGGCTCTATCTTCATGTATCATTCATTTCAATTATGCACACACCGACACACATTCCATATACATACTTCAAGAAAAACCCAAAAAATGTTTCTTGATCATTCAACTTTTTAATGAGAAGGAACATTTACATTAAAAGAACAAAAAGACAAACAAAAAACCAATAAGAGCAGGAAAAAAAAGGAAATTAAAGACAGCTAATTAAATGATGAAGCATCCTTTAAGGCAAAACTGAGACTTTAAAACCAATAAATAAGAAGACATCACTGCAGTTTTGACTATTTCCTTAATTTGTGCTGATTTCTCCCAAGATTCTGGTTCTACGAGATGATTATACTTATAAAAATTATGATGACGTTGTGAAGGATACACGATATACGGCCAACAGATCCTTTACTTCACTACGTTATGATGAATATTATTCTTTTGGAAAGAAAGCCTGCAATACGTTCGTGCATTGCTTGTTTCCTTACACCCATTTAGGTGATGGAGCGATATCAAGAGATGATCGACTTTTAGGGTTTTGGTTGGAGTTGATTTTTAGGGTCTCTTGATTTATGATTATTAGGGTTTTTGGAATTGAGATTTGTTAAATTAGATATGGTTTAATTTGGGGGATTTGTTTATTTCAGTTGTTAATTAGTACTATGATTTCTATCATTTCATGAAGGAAAGATTAGTTAACAAAGAAAAGATTAAAATACGAGAAGCAATGAAAAAAATAAATCGAAGATGGACAGAACTCCATCAATCCAACTCGTGTTAGACATACTTTCAATATGTATAAATACACGAATATTGATAGATTCATATTGTGTTGTAGTTTTCCTAATTGAACCACATGATATCAGGATCCACCAAATTCAAGAATGAACTTCGTTTTTTTATTGTCTTTACTTGCTTTAACATCTTTAACTCTTCGTACTTTACCAACACTTCACTGATGTTTCAAATCAAACTCATCAAATCTTTTTGTATTACATGTTGTATGGGTAGTTCCCAAAACATTTTAACAAAACTTTTATCAAATCAGGGTTAACACGAAATCGTAATCTTTCTTCTTTGAGATAGAGGCAACGTCAGTCTTCGTGCATCTTACCCCGCATACATACTTTATGTTAAGATATACACTACTATGATCTCAATCATAAGCTAACTTATTGAAATTATCGTGTTTGTTGCGAATTATAAGCTACTTTTTTTTTTTAAATTACTTGACATAGCTTTTTGATAAATTTCATAGATCATCTATCACTTTTTTCAAATTATATATGTTGTTTTATATTTTATATAAAATAACAAAAACACATATCCTTTTAAGTCATTTTTTATATATCAATTTTATTAACTAATTATTTTACCACACATGATTAGTTTATCAGCTAATAGTTATCTTTTCAACTAGTTTAATCGTCAAACGTAACCAAAATAAATTTAGTTTAATTTGTTTTTTAGCATTCTTCGGGTAAGCTCTATTACGTCAAATTTGTTGTTAACGAGTTTCATGTTTATACATATTTTAGGATGATCAATAAAAAAGTAATTTTTTTTATATTTGAAAACATGTAAAATAAAGAAGAGCATGTATGATACCCTTATGACTGTGAAAACTAATGACCAATTACTTATCTCTCAAAACCAAAAGGAATATCCAATTCTAAGAAGAAAGCAAAAGAGAGAGAGTCCTCCAACCTCCCAAATTATATTGTAGCCATCGAGTATTAATATATAAGCCACAAGAAGACTGCTTTCTATAGTACGAAATGATTATAAAACTCACCTGTCATTATTTTATTATAATAAAAAACTAAAATATATTTTAAAAAAAACTTGGTTTATTCTAATGACAATGACACTCGTTGACGTGATAAATTCCTTGAGATGTTGTCGTTATAATCTGGACCTGAATAGCTTGTTTCATATTTAAATGCGAATGTTGAATGGGAGGCATGTTCTTTCAACTTATTTATTTATTTATTTATCGCTTTTATTTATATATAATTAGTTTCATGTAGCCTATTTTTATATACTTAATTTCTGTCCACAGCTAAGATTGACGGAATTATCCCATAAATAGTACTATCTTATTAGCACTACTCCGTAGACATTTACAGAATTTTCTTCGAGGTCCCCTTGGTAATTAGCAACCATTTTCCATGAATATATATATATATATATATATATATATCTATATATATGTCCAAAATGGATCATAATCCCATTCAAAATAATATGTGAATTTTATAGAATAACGTTGAGAAGCATAAGTCTGCAATATTGAATAGTGTTTTTGGTTGAAAAAATATATAATATATTTGATTTTGTAAATTTATGAAAAAACTATATATATATATATAGAGAGAGAGAGAGAGAGAGAGAGATTTGGGATCATGTAAGAACAAGAGTTTTTCGTAAGACCAATTCTCAACCCTTGAATTAGATCTATAATCTGAACATTCATAATCACAAAATTGACACGAGACTTCTCAATAATCACAAAATTTTTACCGTGCAACTTCAGACCATTAGATTATTAACTTATAAAGTTGATTAATGAATATAAATTGGTCTTACGGGTCTCACGTGAACCCAACCCTATATATATATATATATATATATATACACACACACACACATACACACACTAGAAGGGTACTCGCACAATGCAACGATACGTATCTTGATTTTAATGTTTCGTTTTACTTTTTTTTTGTGTCGATTAATGTTATAATACGGTTTTATGTAATTTTGAGAAAACAATAATGTTTTTATTTTTGAATAAAATGTAATTTTGAAAAAACGATAATGTTTTTATTTTTATAATACGGTTTTTGAGTATTTCTTTAATTCATTTTTTATGGTTTAATAATATAATTTTTCATAAAGGTAATAATTAAGTACTTTGTTAAAACTCAATGATTATCCT